GGATTTGTTGCTAACCAAATTACTTCATATGGTAATTTAGCGAAGAGTTATGCCACCGTATCTGTATGCATTATTGGATTTATTTTATTTCAGCTTGTCGTTTAAAGTGAATGGCTGTTGTTTGATATCCCTGGTATATATATATATATATATATATATATATATATATATATATATATATATATACACGCAGGATACCTGCACATACAGAGGCATCATGGGTGGCTTGCGCTGCACCGCCCACAGCTCCATGCACATAAACCATATCCAGTGTAAACCCGAAGGAATAAGACCGGGAGGCATGTGGATGGGAGCCACGTTTCATCAACGGAGCCGGCCCACCATCCTTCAACAAGCAGGGCGGATGCCTTTCAGTCTTTTAATGTAGGGATTCATATGTACTAGGAGTACACAAGGCGACGGCAGTGCCGTAGCCCACTCCACACGGGATGCATGGAACTATCCTTTGAACATATAGCTACACACATGCATTGCAGGGAGGAGAAATGCGGACATACCAAAACACCTATAGCGGGACATACTTGAGATGAATTTCCCACTAGCTAATCTTCAATTTAGGTGTTAACTGAAAGTGAAAAAGTTACACTACTTATGGTGAAACACATCAAGAACACCGGTGTCCAGGTGAATTAGGACACTTGCGTCAAGAAGTAGCATGCTGGTTGCGCAAACCACATGCACCGACGGAGCCAGTGGGCAGCAAGCACCTGGTGCTGTAGCACAGGTAATCACGTGTGCTTCAGCCGAGTGGCACTTGGTCACGTGGGGCCAGTAGCAAAGATGAAACGGATGGATAAACGCTGACTAACCGTAAGCACGCTGCTTCCGATTCCATTTACTAACCCTGGTCAATAATGCGACAGGCATGGCAGTCGGTCAATAAATGTACTTGCAAATGTGTGCTGACGCGTGCTTGACAGCTTTTTCAGTTGATATCCCCGATCTGACTGCGCTTGATGTGAATGTTGACAGAGTGCTTACCTGTTGAAAACCGCCTCATCTATTGCTAACTCCAGGGAGTGTTTATGCCTTCCGCAACCAAGCCGGACGAAAATTCAGCTGCCACAGAGGCATCTTTAGCATTAACTGAATAAAACGAGATTTGAGAATACAGAGCAATTATTAATATTTAGCATAAATAGCAATAAAACTACAGTGGAATTTTGCGAGCAAAGTCCTGTGGAAGCGAATTTCTGTCTCCAAACAATCACTGATACTATGACATACCGTGCGCTTTGCGAGGCGCTAAATCTGGAGCCGCTGTGGCTACGCAGACTCAAACTTAATCTGTGCTTTCTATACCGCTTACTATTCGGGTTAAGCTTCACTGCTCAGCCACAACTCGAGTTTCAGACTCGTATGCGCTATGAACTAACAAACAGATAGCGCACAGTGAAAATATCAAAGTCTCGCACAAAGCTCCGCTCAAACTTTCTCTCCGTAAAAATGCATTAATATGGAACAAACTTCCATCGAGTGTTAGAAACTGCACTACCTATGCACAATTCAGACGCATGATTAATATTCACCTGACTGTTGCAAATATCTGGTCAACACTAAGCCAAACGGTGACTCTAGATGATTTGTTTGAGAAAGGTCCTGGATACATATTAAAGTCATCATATCCTCTATTCGTTTCAATAATATAAGATTACCTACACATAGTTGCATTCTTGAGTATATAGTTGAGAACGATCCATCAATCTGTCTAACCAATTCTGTTTTCTCATTTGAAGCAGTGGTTTGTAGATGCACTACGCCTTTCAAGCTGATGTCTCTGTACCATCGTCGTCACTCGCCAAGATTCTCCATCAAATTGTGACTAGCCTATCGGTAAGCGTTTGTATTCATCATTATGTTTTATAATTCCTCATACTTTATCTTCTTCTTTGTTTCACCGTTGGTCATGACTGGGCTGATCTCTTGTGGTGACGGATTACAGCTTCCAAAATAAAAAGTATACCCATGCGAATCATATTGCTACTGACTCGCTGGCTTAAGACGAAAAAGTGCCATACTTGATTGATCCGCATGACAGAACGGGCTGAGGCTCCATCGCCTATAATGTATGCATAAAACAGCCCTTAAAATTGAGAGAGACATTTGATACCTAGTTCTGATGGCTTATTTACTATCTTGCCACACAGGCACAGAGCCAATTGGAGCATGGAATTGCGGATGAAACCCACCGTGGAAATACTCTGCATGGAAGCAAGTCCCCTGGGGACAGTTCCATGGATGACCGTATTACTTTACTTGAACTTTCCGTGAAATCTACATTTATTATTGTTCCCAGTTTCTTTATCCCTCTACTATTTCCAAACTGCTAAGCACTTCAAAAGCCCATATTGGAACCCTTGATCAAAAGACAAAAATTAACTATATTATGCGATCATGTTGTACATGTTGATAAGACCACCCAATTGGTCTGTGCCTCACACTGCTAAGGAATAAAACGTTTATTTTATTTATTTATTTATTTTATTTACTACAGATGTAGCGAGGCAGAGAAACAGTGAGCCTCATGCTAGGTTGAGGTTATGTATTTCAGGCTTCTTAACCGCACTCCGACTACACCTACTTACACTTAGAGTAGACCTTTTTAATCTGTCCTGAGATTCCGCTGCATATTTCGTGTCAAATTTGCGTGCTAATTTTCTTGCAACTTTTCCGTTAGTTTCAAATTCATGGAAGATACTTGGAACAGATCGAGTAGTCATGAGATAGCCTCAGCGCTTTTCTACAGGGCACAAACCTTGTGCACAATGGAGGAGGACAAAAAGGCTGCGGGGAAAGTGGCAATGGGCAAACTATTAGAAAGTGGTTACCCAAGACGGCTAGTTAAAAGCCAATTGCCTAAAGTGCTACACCAGCAGTCAAGACCCCCAGCCGAGTGCATAGGGACGGTCGGAATTCCGTACAAGGAAGGCATTTCGGAGGCAATTCGGAGGGTATTAAACAAGGAAAATATAAGGGTGATCTTTCACCGAGGTCGAACGTTGCGTTCGGCGCTGGTACACCTGAAGGACCCGCTTCCCAAGGATAGGACGACTAACTGTGTTTATAAAATTAAATGTAAGGACTGTGCACGTGTGTACATAGGCCAACCAGCGAGAGAATTACGCACACGAATTTCTGAGCATAGGAGACGCATTGCAAGACTACCAAGAAACCAGTTGGAATAGCAGGCAATAATAAGAGACTCGGCCGTAGCTGTGCATGCATTAGACACGGGTCACCAGATAGACCTCGAAAACGTAGAGGTCATTAGGAAGTGTATCCGATCAACCACTCAGCGGTTGATTGCAGAGGCGGTGGAAATTGCCAAATCTGACGACTGCGTGAATAGAATGGAGGGGGGAGAAATCCCTAATGCGTGGCGGGCGGTCTTAAGCCGACCAGCTTGACGAGCATCGACGCGTGGATCAGATTGAAAAGTGCAAACCGACTCCCATTGTCAACACTATGGGCTTATCCGTCAATGTCATGACGCACAAAGGTACACCTGGACTATTCCCACTGTGATCGAACCACCTGAGGTGACATCCCGAACTATTCCTGTAATGACTCATGGCTCAAGACTCGGGTACCGCGGTTGTCACCCCTGTTCGCTATAAAATCCCACGCCAATTGCACACTGATTCACCTGTTCTGACGAAGGCGAAACGTTACCAAACTACTATACCAAACCGATTGTTTTCCGTTAGTTGTTTTATACCCATGGTTTGGCTGTGCTTGGTGTGCATGTTGACCGTATTCCTACCCGTCGAAAAATCACCAGTGGAAGTGAGGATAATACCGGTATACATCCCAGCTAATCGGCGTCTGGTAACTGAAGATTTTAAGTCAGTTTTCCTTCTCAAAATTACTGTTTGCCAAACCGTTCAAGTTTGCTTCTGAATTACTTAATCCAGCTAATTGAACCAGTGTGAACGCACTGAGAGCAAAGTAAGCGTCCAATGATGAAGTGCTCGCTCTACGCCATATTAGACGTCTGGCTATCGATCGGCACCTCGAGATCACTGGCATCGACAAGAAAGCAAAAATAACGGTTTCAGACGAGCATGGAGCAGACATGGTTGGAGTGTCTAATCACACCGTCTGTTACAAAGCTCAAATCGAACATTAGGGGGTAGTGTATGAAACTTACGTGGAAGCCACTAGAATCGTCGGGTTATGACCGATCAAGTAATACCACTCGTGTTAATTGGTCGGTTCATCCAGTTTGCCATATATTCATCCAATCCACGTGGGAGCGTGCCGCTCACCGGTCATACTTTGACTCAATACCGGCGATCGGCGCCTTGGCTGCTCGCCTAGAGATTCCTTTCCTAACAAGTTACAAGAGGGCAAAATCATACAGAAAAAAAGTAGCGAAAATTTCAGAGGTAATTCGTCGCAGTCAGGAATTCACACAAGTGGTAAATTTCGCCAGTAGAAAACATATTAGTTATGTCGACAAGTCATATAAATTTGCAACCTGGTACTCGAGCCAACTTCCTTTCATTGGTGGTCGGTGGGTTAATTTCTCGTAGCTAAGAAAAATACTGGAGAGTAGAGTATGGTTTTTGAGTTGATTCCTCAGACTCAATCAGACAGCCAGCACTTATCAGAGCAAATGCTAGACAGACATTTCGTCCTTCTGAGAATCACCAGCACTGCGTATGTGCCGTTTTTACTCTTATCAAAAAGTGACTTAATCCACCCAGCCACGGGTGACGATGGTTGACCAACATAACGGATAACCAATTGTGAAATAGCGCGTCCCATCATCTAGTATCCTGTTCGTGTTAAACGTGATAAGCATAGGTCTGGCTTTCGGAGCTACGACTGCACTTGAAATCCGTGCACAAGTGGGACGGCATGTAGTCTATTAAGAGGAATACTGTTTTTCAGAAAGTAGTGGGAAGCAACGTACTATTTTTTAACTATGTTCCTATACATATATTGTGCCGAATTTTGAACTCTTCATAGAAGCAATGTGGGTGACGGCTGAAAATTGCGCTGTTCGAACACACACTGGATCCCATGGGCGATTTGGTGAAGTGAAGCATCGCATGCGTGATGTCTACAAAGTGGAGCCGTTTGAAACTTGGTAAGCCGATTAATCAGATAGCATCCGAGCACATCGTTCCCTTGATTCTGATATTGGTCAAAACCAGTCTGTTGTTGCAGGCAGTGTTTAGGTCAAAGTGCAGTCAACAATTCAATGCCAGAATATGCGAAGGATAGTTTATCATCATCATCATCATCATCATCATCATCATCATCATCATCATCATCATCATCATCATCATCATCATCATCATCATCATCATCATCATCATCATCATCATCATCATCATCATCATCATCATCATCATCATCATCATCATCATCATCATCATCATCATCATCATCATCATCATCATCATCATCATCATCATCATCATCATCATCATCATCATCATCATCATCATCGTCATCATCATCATCATCATCATCATCATCATCATACACGTTAGCTAGAGGTGGGGAACACCTCAGCTACTGTGCCGCAATACATATAAAAAAGAAAAATATGCAGCTGGTGCCAGCCGGCTGAGCTACCGGTAACGGATGAGCATCGTTCCGTTAGGCTACCAGCCGGCTGCTTTGCATCAAAAAATAAATTACAATGCAAAATTATATAAGGCTAAATAATGAGATGTGGTTGGAGTGGTAGGCTAAGAGGGATGGGGTGGGACAAAGAAACTCACAACACGAACGCCACTGAGGTCGGCTCCTTTCCATCTCAGCAAGTGTGTCCAACCAAACATGTTCATCGTCTTTCGGACCCCAACCAGGGAGCCGAGACGCTCCAACCGAGGCCAGCTCAGAAGTGAGGACCTTCATTCCTCTCGACCAAGTCATCACTTGGCCTCCCCTCCTCTTCTTCCATCCACACCCCCGGCGCACAAACAACACACGTCGCGGGAGTCGGTGGGCTGGCATGCGTAACACGTGTCCGAGCCATCGGAGCCTGGTGCGTGAAATAACGCTGCTGAGCGGTTCATTTCCTTTTCTTGTGCCATAAACAAGGCGTCGAACACGCTCGTTGCTCACGCGGTGTTTCCACCAGATGTGAGCCAAACTGCGAAGGCACCGGTGGTCGAACGTAACTAGCCTCTTCAGGTCCGCTGCTTTAAGCGGCCAGGATAGTGTATAGGAGAACAGTAAACGTGGTCTGAAACACCATGCAGATGGAATACTCTTGTGGAATCTCCACCACTAAGTTGCGCTCTGCAGCAATAAGCGCCACAATGCAATCAGGTAGGTGAGCGAAAAGGTGGAGTATTGCTCACTTTGGATAGCGAAGGATAAATATCACCACTACTAGTTAACGAGTGATCAGTGTCTCTGGACTACAAATGGAGTTCAAGTTGAAATTCGTATTCGGACGGCTCGAGGTCAGTCTGTCCAATTGGTTTGGGAGTTCTGGGCTCATGATGCATCATGAAAACGAGTAGCGGAATATTGGCATCAACACAAGGATATCAGAGCCAATTTCATATAGGTACCTTGTAATATAACTGCGGGTGAGATTGCACGTGTTTAAAATGCTCCATGTGATGGATCCTTAAGTGACCAGGGGCAGATGCAAAGTATTGGCGAAGTTTACGTAGCGTGGAATGACAAGGGCTATGTCTCAAATGTCAAACCGTAGATAATTTCATCAAGTCTTCGATAGGAGAATGATAATATTTCAGATCGGTTTCGCCGTTGTTAGTTAAATATTTCAACTTGGCTATAAGCTTGTTAGAAACGGTTCTGTTGCTTGGCCATGCGCTGCTTTGCAAGGACCCTACAAATTCTTCGCAGTTTATCAACATTAATCAATCAGATTGACGCCTCTCTAACGTAACCTGACTACGACTAGCTTGTCTGTATTTTCAGGTGGACAACAACCAATATTCATCTGGTTCCTCAGTTACGGTCCTAGTGATCGCAGTGACCAAGGTTCCCTTCATTGCGAATCATTGTCCACCGTAAGATTGCGAGTCGCAATCCACTAACACAACAAGCGCTTCAGAATGCACCTAACGAATCTATCGACTTTCAACCACATATTCACGGCTTGTCAAGTTTATTGCATAAGCCTCACTTCTGTTCGTATACCTTTTCTCAACAGCCTACAACTTGTGAAATGCTTGAGTTGAATACAGCCTGGAAGTGGATCAGTGTTGTTTCTCCCAACACTGACTCCACATGGCGGGTCTCGTCTTCGTTTAGACTCATCTGATGGAGATAACCTGAGCTGGGGTGAAATTCGGGGCCTGGTGACGCACGACTGGCGCCTTGATGGCTTTACCACAAAGGTCCGTGGACAACGCTTTGCACAGCGACAAGCAATTCAAAGTCGGATTTCGAGTACCCGCCGTGGGGTTTCGGTTATTTATGATGGTGACGCGTTGTCATGAGATCTACCTTTTTCTGATATCTGGAAAGCACCAGGGTTTTTAGTCTATAGCAAACTATTTAGTTAACACGATGGCTTAATGCTAGACAAGTTGAAGAAGAGTATTTGACATTTTAAGATTCTATGCAGTGGATCCAGCGATTGCGTTTAACCTTAGATAACAACTTCATCGAAGTTGCCTAGAAATCTACGTGTGACTCCGCCACCTTCACGTTGCCTTAAAGGAATTAATTAAGTAACGGATGGGTAATTTCACCGTCTAGCTAGCGCAGCAACACCGCAGAGACTACGTGCCATCGAGACTGTGTTTCTCACACCATTAGCTCACTCGATTTGCCTCCGCTATGTGGAATCCACCGACTTTTCCGTTCTTCTTATGGAATAGGTTTAGTGCGATGGGTTGGTGTCACTTCAGGAAAGTGGTGCACACCATAACGACCATGAGAATGATTCCGTACGTCTCGCTTACCAACGTCAAGCGTTGAGTTCTTACCGCGTCCGAAGAATTAATCCCAGTGTCTTGCGATTCAGAAATCGCGTTTAGAGTATAACGCTACTAATTCGACCACCTCATCTAGCGTGGCAGAACTCTTAGATAACAAGCAGCCTCTTCGAGTGCATAAAAAGCTAAGTTCTGTGTTGAGCCAGGTGCCATCGCTTCCTCCCTTGGAACTTGTTTTGTAGCATACACAAAGTTATTGGTGCTAGGTCATCCGTAGCTACTGTGAGTAACCACGGGCTTGTGGATTCTCTGGCCAATGTGAATACCCAGATACCCTCATCTTTCACGCCCATACGACCCATACAGTCCTGAGCACCCGCATCACAAATACACATGTGGCTTACCATAGAGTTCAGTCGTTCAATGTGAAGGAAAGCTAGCGACGAGCAGCCATAGTTATTGTTGCAAAAGCACAGTGCGACAATCTCTGTTAGACAAATGAGACTGTTGACGTTTGTGTAGGGGAGGTACCATGTAATTACTTACCTCCAGCTGCTGATACTTACTGTGGAGCTCACATATCTGCTTGGTTCAAACGCTGCATGGCTAACCTCGTAAGGATTTCAGAAGCCACCTTCATGTATACTGACATACTTCTCCCGACTTATTCCGCCACACCGATCATCGCGTTCAAATAAATGGGGGATACAACGCCTTTAGCGATTCGCGTATAGTTGTGAATTAGTTTAGTAGGCGGAAAGAATTAAGGGATGAACTCTACAATAATAATAATAATAATAATAATAATAATAATGTGTCAGCTGTACGCCGTAACGGCGCTTCGCTGCCGCGCGACCACCACCAGTCGCGTGCGGGCTGAGTATACCGCGAGGACGCCCATCCCTACGCGGATTCGAACCGGTGAACTGATGGTTGCAAAGCAAACGTGCAGACCACTCGGCCACCGGCCGACAACTCTATAATCAAGGGACACTTGACAAAATGGGTCAAACAAGAAATTTCCTTCAACCTTTACTTCAACCTAGGGACTACAAAACCATTCCTTTCATCATAGATGGACTTATACTGGTCACATACTAACAGTTTAATGCAAAAGGAGTGTACAACATTTGGATGTAATATAGTAGAACCCTGTCCTGTGTTTCGTAGCAAATATTGAGATTGACCAGATTCAACATGCATTCTATGTTGGAAAAGCGTTGGTTGTTAATCTCAAACAGCTTTATACATGGACATACTGTCTCTACAACAACATTAAATTCCATGGTTTCGTCAGAGGGCGAGATACTACCCGGTTTCCCAATCCGAAGTAGGGTGTTGACTTAGAGGACACCTTTGGCTAAATAACCCGCCCGCAAGGCAGCGGAGCGAATTCAGGGAATCGCACCCAATGGGAGCCGGTGACTGATTGCTCAGTTCATACGCTTTTCGTTTGTTCGTTTGTCAAACAGGGGTCCAATGCTCCCCAGAATTACAGCATAACGTTGCTGGAATACAATGCTTCGCCTGGATGAAGCAAGGGGCAGTAACTTATGTGTTTTGTTTTCTTGTACAAATGTCGTGCCTTAGTTTGTGTTCCATGGTTTCTGGTGTCTCCAGGTCTACTCATAGACTGTTGCAAATTAAATAAATATATATTGTTCCTACCGTTCAACGTTTAGTCTTCATCTCGGTCTGTCACACACTCCTACTTCGGATGCGCCCATTCACACAAAGAGAACACATGATTGTTGCTGCCACATTTCTTTATATTGCTTGTGAGCTAATCATGAAATCAACTAAGCTAAGTATCCAACCGATTCTACCGAGCTGCGTTGTGTCTGGACACTCCGAAGTGATACGAACTTAGCAGGTTAGAGAGAGGGTAAAGAGATGGTCCCTACACGTTGCAACACAGGTTTAGAATCTTTACCACTAATTTTGAATGAGAACAAATCTGAAATTTCAAATGAAGCGTACGTGAAGCAGTTAAATCTCTGGCAATTTGGCTAACGCGATGAGGAGATAACAACCGATAGATGCTAACATCTCGTGATGTCGCCTCAATGAAGAGAACAATGACAGAAAAATGTGAATGCAGAAGATTGTGATCGATGTATTTTAAGATGGCGATGGATGATAAATGGGTTTTCTATGTTCACTGTAACATGCGGCAGACAAACAAATGCAGTTGCATACACATCTACGCGCATAC